TCAATAGAACTTCACTATTTTAATTTAGAACCTTTTGACCTATCCACAACTCACCTATTTTACATACTTACACTTTTGGTAAAAACTATATAGATCAACTTGCTAGATTTGAAAATCAGATTAACTCAAATATAGTTGTATTAGAACCATACAATCTTGAATCATGTTTAAGTAATCAACATCTTCCACTCTTACTATACCCTTAAACTATAAGATCCTTCTTATCTTATCTTAGTATATTCGATTATACTATAGATAATTCATACCAATACACCAATATACTCTATTTATTTTAATCAAAAAAGATTTTAGCAAAGCACATGTTTATCTACCTAATGAGCCCAAACCCATTCATAATATCCTTTATGTATCTGGATATGCTATTGTTATTGATCTTTTTTTCAAATATAACTTCAAGTTTAGAATTATCAATATCTATCTCCCATGTAACAACTCTTTACTCCATCTACAAACTCAAAATTCTGTTATTTAGTAGATTCAACAAGCTACCTCTTTGAATATTCAGCCCATAATTATGGGAGATTTTAATACAACTAATGACAATACACTATCCTCATCAATCAAATACAAGCTACTCTATTTTCTTCAATATATGACTTAGCAGTTCATACACAATCTACAGTCTTTACATGGCATAATAGTAGACACAGTAGTAGCAGTATTAACTATATTTGGGCTCATCACCCTATTCTCTGTTATCTAATCTCATTTTATCTTGAAGATACTGATACTTGCACTAACAATGATCACAAAATCCTAATATCTTTCTGGTTCTTTCTATATGCACTTATTGGTAAATATTATTACTCAACTAAAACCAAAAGAAGAATTTTCTAGTATAAAAGTATGAATAAAGAACAATAGCTAAACTATACAAAATATATTTTATCTAATCTTAAAACTAATAATACTTCCAATACTACCAACACAATAGAATCTATAGATATACTTGAGACAAAATTCAAAATAGTATTATTACTGCAGCACTTCAACATATTTCTAACAAAAAATTAACTACCTATAACTTCCAACACATTTTCTCATCTAAAACATCTAAGCTCCACTATAATCTTAAAAAACTTGAAAACATTATTAGACAAGTTAAATGTTCTTTAAATGACTTAATATATATTTTCACTCATCATAACTCTACACTAACCTATCTTAATTCTCAACACCAACTTCATATTCCTAATATAATACCAAATTACTCTACACTATCTAACTAGATATATACTGCAAACAGTAAATGGAAAGCTCTCTACTATACCTGAAATATTAAAAAATTAAGGAAATCAAATAACAAATTGATAAAAATATCACCAGATAATATAATAAGCTTCAATCCAACCCAACTTCTATAATTAATAGTATACTTAACAGACATAAGAATTCTGTCAGATTTGATAATATCAAATCTGACAACTATATAATTACAGACCCTAAGGAAATTAAATCTTATATACAAGAATATTTCAACCAATGGACCAGATACAAAGCAATCAATGAACACTTATATAATACTGCATAGACTACAGAATATAATACTAAATATAATATTGATACTACATAGTATTAACCTGCTTTCCAGAACTTTACTATAGATGAGGTTTCTCAACTCTATCTCAATTACCAAATAACAAAGCATGCGGACCATCAGGCATCATCTATGAGATGTTTAAACATGCTGAACCAGACTTTATATAAACTATTATAGTCAAACCTCCATATATGCACATCTCTTGGGACTAGCCATTAATATGTATTTAAAGAGGGTGTGCATTTAGAGAAAGTTATACAAATATAATCATATGATCAAGATAAATTACAGTCCTGTATTAATCTTATTGTCTTAGATGGTTTTACTATACTAATTTACCAACAAATAAAAAATTATTGTAGAATAAGAAATAAATAGCAAATTAATTTATTGAACTATTAAACACTTATACCGTATCATTGCGAATAATACCACAGGCTGTTATTTCGAGGCAGAATTTCTAGAGAACTAATAATTAATCTTGATAAATACAATGATTTTATTTATTAAAAATTATCAAAATTAAACCTTTAGCTCCAGAAATTCTGTATCTCAAAATAACACCTCGAAGCATTATTTTATAATGATATGATAACCAATACTGATAAAAGTAAATATTTTTTTATTATTTGTAGTTTTACATAAGTGATTAAAATGACTAATAAATTTAAAAAAAACACAAACTGATAGGTAATATAGTCAGCAAAAAATGTTGCGATGCGAAATATATAATTGCTCATCTTAATTATAAATCTTAATCTGTTTTCAGCATTTGTATAAAAATAAGATTATACAATTATGATATCATATAGCACTATTAATTAATAGTGCAAACTTTCATGCATTTAAATAATACTGCACAGATGATAGTTAAAATATAACAACAGTATACCTTCTATGAATTATACTAGTAGCAGTTTGAGATTAATTTTTATTTATATCTGAATGCTATACATATTATATCTTTAAGAATAGCATCTTTATATTTTATAAAATACCAGGCTGTAAAAACATTAAAGACTTGCAAAATTAAATGAAATAGATATACTGGCATACCTCAAGTCTTTATATTTATCTGGTATATTACTTAGGACTTTACAGCACCTTTTACTATTAATTTTATACAACCCTCATTAGTATAATCAGGTGAATTTATGAGCTTTAATTTTATTACAACTTATGATTATGCTACAAGAACTTTTATTTAAAATATTCGTTTATATGAATTTGTTGAGCTGAATTTACGATTTTACTTTTAATAAATTTTCTAATGAATTAACTAGCTTGAATTGCTCACTTGAAATAAAAATAAACAAATATTTTCTAAATTATTTAATGCTGAACTACCACTAATAGTTGTAATTTCAATACTATCATTCTCATCATCTATTTCAGCACTATTTTTATCAATAGTTTCAATGCTTGCATCTTTTTTAAACATATATGCAAGTTCTTTGATAATCTGATCATCTTCTGAAATTTTATAAACAATGTTCTCATCATTAATCATAAGGAATTTATCAGTTTTCATTGCATTAGAGAGACAAAATGAACTAAGTGCATTAATAAACCTATCTAACACCAAATCATTTGTTCTACAAATATCATTAGGGAGGTTCTGAATTTTAAAACCAGCATCACTTGAAAGAATTTTTGTATGATGCCAACAATTGCGAATAGTTTTAGCTTCTCATCCTCTAATTATATATTGAATTGCTTGAAGAATATTCATCTTTAGGTCTTGAATCAATTTTTCTTCTTTAACTTGATCTAATAACTACCTAATTTAATAAATAAAAAAAAATAAA